GGGGAGTGGGAGAGGGAGAAGCAGGCTTCCCGCTGAGCAGGGAGCCTGATGTGGGGCTCGATCCCAGGACCCTGGGATCATGACCTGAGCCGAAGGCAGACGCTTAACGACTGAGCCACCCAGGCGCCACCGGAATATTATTCAGCCTTAAAAAGGAAGGACGGTTCTGACACATGCTACAGTGTGGATGAACCTCGAGGACATTATGCTAATTGAAATAAGCCAATCACAAAAACAAATACTGTACTGATTCCACTTATATGAGGTATTTAGAGTAGTCACATTTGTAGAGACAGAAAGTAGAATCATAGTTGCCAAGGGCTAGAAGAGTGGAGAGTGAGGAAGAGTTTGTTGCATGGTATAGATTTTTGGTTTTGTGAGATTGAGAAAGTTCCAGAGATTAGTTTTACAACAATGTCAATATACTTAACATTACCCAGCTATTTAGTTAGAAATGGTTAAGATGGTAAATTTTATGTTTATGTTATATTTTACCACAATTAAATTTTTTTTTTTTTTAAGATTTTATTTATTTATTTGACAGAGAGAGACACAGTGAGAGAGGGAATACAAGCAGGGGGAGTGGAAGAGGGAGAAGCAGGCTTCTCGCGGAGCAGGGAGCCCGATGCGGGGCTCCATCCCAGCACCCTGGGATCATGACCTGAGCCGAAGGCAGACGCTTAACGACTGAGCCACCCAGGCGCCCCCACAATTAAATTTTTTTAGAGAATAAGATTAGTGTGGACTAGAATCAACTTCCTGTGTTCTGAAGATGAATAGTGATAATTACACTTACTGTATACTTAATGTATGTCCTAGAAGCATGATTTGAATTGGTTATTTAATCCTTCCCCTGTGAGGTAGGTACTAGTATTATCTCCATGAGTAACCAAGGTAAAAAGAGGTGATGTAACTTGACCTAAGTTTTTGAACAAGTTAGTAGTGGAGCTATTTCCAGGCAGTTTGACTTCAGAAGCTGTGTTTAACCATCATATATACTTCTTTTCAGGAGAATGGTTAGGTATGTTTCTACAATAGTTAGCGGTTAGGAGTGTGTTTTTTCTCCCCAAGTTGGAATGTTTTGCTCTCTTGTACTATCATTAAACTTTTGAATCCTTTTTTTTTTAGATGATTTATTTATTTGAGGGAGAGAGCGATCACAACTTGGGGTGGGGGCACAGGGAGAAGCAGACTCCCCGCTGAGCAGGGAGCCCGACTCAGGACTTAATCCCAGGACCCTGGGATCATGACCTGAGCTGAAGGAGATGCTTAACTGACTGAGCCACCCGGGCGCGCCCACTTTTGAAACTTTTATTAAACTTACTGTCAGCTGAATTCTGTTTCATACTGGCAGATGATTAAGAAAAGAACATGAATTAGATAATTGCATTTTTATTGCTGAAGTGATGCCCTTGACCCCCAATTTAAATCTGTTCCCTCAGTGCAGGATTACAGTAAGATGAGTTACTTTAGTTGGAGTGTCTTAGGAGATCTGGTGAACATTCATAATGTTAAAGGAATACCAAGTGAAATTTTTATGAACTAAGACTTACATATTTATCTAAAAATAGCAATCCCTTATATATATTATCACTGGCTCTAAATTGTGTATCTTATTTCTTTTGAGCACTCTGAGTAGGTAGCACTTTATCTGACTATTGCTTCCCATGAATCTAGGGAACTCATCATATCCTATCTTCAGTTTTTTTTAATATTTTATTTATTTATTTGACAGAGAGAGACACAGTGAAAGAGGGAACACGAGCAGGGGGAGTGGGAGAGGGAGGAGCAGGGAGCCCGATGCGGGGTTCGATCCCAGGATCCTGGCATCATGACCTGAGCCGAAGGCAGATGCTTAACGGACTGAGCCACCCAGGCGCCCTCTATCTTCAGTTTTCAATCCCCTCTCCTTTCCTTTGAAAGAAACACTGTTTATCTCTTGAGAAGATGTAGAGAGTTCCTTGGCCTGCATAAGATAGATCATGTAGCTGTCTTGAAATATTTGGATAATGTACATTTATGGTATTTGGACTTAACAGTTGTGACAATAAAAACAAGTTACAGAACTAAAACCTTTTCTTTATAGGTTGCGGATTTGGATGATGAATTTGCTGACTTGGTTTTAGGAGAATTTAGTGAAAATTTTGATTTGCTACCAGCTGAAAAGGTAAATTTTATTATTCATTTACTTTGATGAAGTTCTAGTATTTGGCTGTGGTTTAATTTCTCTGTCTCAGGTGTTTTTGTTTTTTTTTGACTTTGCATAGCATTAGAAAAGGCTGACTTAATTAGGAGAACAGTAAAGTAAAGTCACTATCAGTACAAGTACTTAAATAATGGTAGTGATTTCCTATTGTCATATGTGCTGTATAAATCAGAAATTGAATCTCTTTTACTGCTGTTGAGTCAGCAAAAGTCAATTCTTTGTAGCATTTTCATTGCGATCATTTTTCTAAGTACTTGAAGGAAATTATGGATAGAAATTTTATATTGAAAATTTATTGGTTTTGTAGACTGCTGCAATGATTATTTTTCTCATCATTTTTTTCTGAATATGATTTAATTTTTCTTGGAAACTTTTTTTCTTTTCTTTTCAAATATATTAAGCCAGAGAATAGACATGTTTTAAATAGTGATAGTAATAGAATTAGACACATTTCTTCAAAGCATTTTTGCTTTTTCTACCAGAGACCTTCCCCCATGAACTTGCCAGACTTTATCTTTAGTTTTCTTTATGAAACAAGAGTTACCAAGTAAAGTTGTTGTTTTGTTTATTTGTTTTTAAGTAAGCTCTATGCCCAACATGGGGCTCGGTTTTAGGAACCTGAGGTCAGGAGTTGAATGCTCCACCAACTGAGCCAGCCAGGCGCCTCCCCCTCCCCCAAGTGAAGTGTAAAGTGTTTTTAGGTGGGAATATGTATAATGGGGTCTAGAATGAGCCCAGCAAATTTACTTAGTTATTTTTCACGAAAGAATTAAAGAAAAACATGAATCTCTAGATTAATTTTAAGACCTTTGGAATTAGAAATGGAAAAAAGTATTTTTCTTTTGAATGAAATGCCCTAATTATTGAAAATTTTTATTGTTTAGTATTTGAATGTTAGATGTGATGTTTAATGTGCCCTAAAGTCACATGATTTCTGTTTTCAAAGAGCTTATAATCTGAGTTCAAATTGACCCACCATGTCTCTTATCAGTAGCTTACAAGCACACCCAATCTCTTCTTGGCTTTTGAGGTCTTTGAAATTTGATTTCTGCTTTGATTTCTCATTTTTCTTTGGATTTGATTTGATGTGGGTCTAATTCCTTTGAAAAAATTGTAATTCGTATTTATGTTTTTAATATCTGGTCAGTTCCTCTATTAGACTATTAAGGTTAAATCAGAAGTAAATTAATTCATTTATTCAAGAAATGTTTTTTCTTTTTTTTTTTTTTCAAAGATTTTATTTATTCATTTGAGAGAGAGAGAGAATGAGAGACAGCACATGAGAGGGGGGAGGGTCAGAGGCAGAAGCAGGCTCCCTGCCGAGCAGGGAGCCCGATGCGGGACTCGATCCAGGGACTCCAGGATCATGACCTGAGCCGAAGGCAGTCGCTTAACCGACTGAGCCACCCAGGCGCCCAAGAAATGTTTTTAAACAACTTATTTTAAGAACTTTTCTAGTTTCGGGGGATTCAGCAGTGTTTTTATGGGACTTGTTATAATGCTCATGTAGATTTATATTCTAGTGGGTGGGGAGACAGTAAACCATTAAATGTATATCCAAGATATCAAGTAGTGATTAATGTTATTAAAAAAAGAATAATAAGTCCTTAAAAATGATGGAAGTGTGCTTATTCTGTTTTACATGATTGGTTGGCGAGGGCATCTAATTCTGAGATCCTGTGTTAGAGGCCAGTATACTGCACACGGAATACTTACGTCTCTGCTTTATAGCTACAGACTGCAATACACAGAGTAACACTGGCTCAGACAGCAGTGCCTGTGCTTTGTGGAAGTGCCCTGAAAAACAAAGGGGTCCAGCCCTTGTTAGATGCTATTACCATGTACTTGCCTTCACCCGAAGAGCGCAACTATGAATTTCTGTGAGTATGCAAGTAATAGATTAAAATCTTATAGCCTTGAAAAAACAGGCAGATAGTTCTTGTTTCCAAAGAGTAGTTGAATCACCATTTTTTGAATAACATTGGTGAAGGATATAATTGTAAATAATACAGAGCTAGATGAAATTTTATTTGAAAGGAACATTTGTCATTATCTTTTGTAACCTGCTATGTTTACAGATGGAGGTAGAACGTGTGGCTTTTTTGCTGTATAAAAGTACAAGTGTTTACCATGTTGTCTTAGTTTAAAAAAAAAAGTATAGTGGGATGTTTGATAACTTTTCTGTAAATATGTTTATACTAGATTTCAAGATTTTTTTTTAAAAAAGATTTTATTTATTTATTTGAGAGAGAGAGACACAGCGAGAGAGGAACACAAGCAGGGGGAGTGGGAGAGGGAGAAGCAGGCTTCCTGCTGAGCAGGGAGCCCGATGTGGGACTCGATCACAGGACCCTGGGATCATGACCTGAGCCGAAGGCAGACGCTTAATGACTGAGCCACCCAGGTGCCCCTCAAGATTTTTAATAAGCTCAAAATACTTTGTGGCTGTAAAGAAAGGTCATTGTTTTACTTTTCTTGTCACTAACAGCTTTGTACTTAGTAAAAAATCCTCTAAAATCTGAGTGAGCGTTGTACAAAATGGCAGGCAGGAATGGACTTTAATCCTTTAAATAGGGTATTAATCACTTTTCATATCTCCCAGTTGGAGATGTATTAATGGTGAAGTAATTATGAGCATGGACTGTGTACTGCCTGGATTTAAATCCCAGCTCTTCCAAGTTATTTAACCTCTCACCTGTAAAATGCAGGGAATAGGACCTATCTCACTGGATTGTTACAAGAATCAAATGAGTTAATATTGATAAAGCATATGGAACAGTGCCTAGTGTATGGCAGACTCTTGTAAGTTTTCACTAAAATTAAAAGGGGGGTGCCTGGGTGGCTCTCTCATTGGGCATCTGCCTTCGGCTTGGGTCATGGTCCCGGGTTCCTGGGATTGAGCCCCGCATCGGGTTCCCTGCTTGGCGGGGATCCTGCTTCTCCCTCTCCCACTGCCCCTGCTTGTGTTCCCTCTCTCGCTGTCTCTCTCTCTGTCAAATGTTTTTTTTTTTTAAAAAAAAGTTGGAGAGAATAGGGATAAGAGGGGAGAAGTTCTGTAATAGAAGTGTCTCACCTACTTTGATTCATGGGCTCCTTTGAAACCAGTGAGAACCTGGAGCTTTTCCTCAGGAAAAATATGTACCTATGCACAAAATTTGGCAATTTCAGAGGGATTCAGGCTTTCTGAAACTTAACAGTGCACGTTAATTTAAGGACATCAGTCTGTAAGAATGTTGGCTGTGTAAACAAGTTCAAGTTTATAGTGTAGATTTCTATGGTTATGCAACTGGAAAGAAAGTGGGAGTGAAAGTAGTGATTGGAAAGCATATACCTGTATATATATATACCCTGTACAGGCTTTTGTGAGAAGTAGTATGATGTCCCTAGGTATATTTTCTGCGGAATGAACTCTATGCAGTGGAATTACTTGCAAATAGAGGTAATATTTGGGAGAGAATCTATTATTTTTAAAAGTTTTGAGGAATTAATTAAAAGATCTCCATTAAATAATTCAGTCAGGTGGAGGAAGGGAGGTAATTAGTACTGACATTATTTAATCAGTCTGAGTAGCTAAACTAGAAGATATGAGGGAGGACATTAAGGTTAAGTTTGTACAATGATTTTGATCTGATCTGCATAGATACATGGGAAGTGTATTTTAAAGGTTTTTCTGGAATGTCTCAATTTGTAGGCAGTGGTATAAGGGTGACTTATGTGCCCTGGCATTTAAAGTTCTTCATGACAAGCAGCGGGGACCACTGGTGTTTATGCGCATTTACTCAGGCATGATAAAACCCCAGTCGGCCATCTATAATATTAATGGAAACTGCACGTAAGTAGAAGTTTAGGTTATTTCTAAAACTGCACTCATTTCTTTAAAAATTCTTTTACTAATACGGATCATGGTTTTTACAGGGAGAGAATAAGTCGTCTCCTTTTGCCATTTGCTGACCAACATATAGAAATCCCTTCACTGACTGCTGGTAACATTGCTTTGACTGTTGGTCTTAAACATGTAAGCGACCAGATGGTTTCTCTAGGAAATAATAGCTTAAATATTTAATTAAAAGCAGTTATTTTGCAGTAGCAAAAATCCACAAACAATCCAAATAGCCATCAGTAGTGGGGTAATGAATATTGGAACGTATTCATCAACATGGTTGAATCTCATAGTAGAAAGAAAGAAAATTACAGAAGACTGTCAGCAGTGTGGATTATATTTGTGTAACGTTCAAATTCAAGTAAAACAATATTCATGGGTACATACCTGTGTTTTAAGTTTAATATTTTGTTACTGAGGTTTTTTCCTGTCTTGATCACTGCTGACAGTTTAACCTTATAACCAATCCAGATAGTAACTGAAGATATTTTGCCAGTGAAGGCTCCATGAGGGCAAGGATTTTAAGTTTCTTTTGTTCTTTTTAGTCCCTAGATCAGTGCCCATCACGCATAACTTTTGTCAGTTGAATGCATGAAAATAGTTGATGCAGTATGTGTTTTTGCTAGGTTAAAACTATAAGGACATTTCATTTATATATGGATTAAATTGAATACATTTTCTCATTAAACTTTGGTATATTTGGCATTTAGGATAACCATTGTTACTTTGAACATTTTTTAACTTCTTTATGGTTAATTGCAGGATTTAGGATCCCTTTAGTATAAAATTTCCACAGTTCAGGGCATCTGGGTGGCTCAGTCAGTTAAGCGTCTGCCTTCAGCACATCCCTCGTCTTGGGATTGAGCCCCACATCGGGCTCCCTATTCAGCGAGGAGTCTGCTTCTCCTTCTCCCTCTCCCTCCTGCTCATGCTCTCTCTCACTCTCAAATAAATATTTTAAAATAATAATAATAAAATTTCCACAGTCCAAATATTGGATTATAGCATTGAAAATATCTTCTGTCCACCCAAAGGCAGGAGCTCCATGTACATATTTGAAGGAGTTACACAAATACATGTGAAATACTGCTTCAGTAGGAATACCTTTACAGAGAAGGAAGCTGGTACAGAACTTTGTAATATTAAAGTTTAAAAGGGAAATTATAGTTTTAAAAATAATTGGAGTCTGTAAGGAAGCTATCAATTTTGCATGGTCTAGAGAATTCTGGTTAATTGCTTATTTAGTTAATAGCAGATTTTTTGTATAACAGTAATAAATTTTTACTGGTGGTAAAACTCTATAATGGACTTCTAGTAGAACTAACCTATTTTGACATGATTGAAAATTTAGGAACGTACATTTGTTTCACCAGATGAATTTTGGTTGTGTAGTGTGTGTGTGTGTGTGTGTTAGGATTTTTTTTTTTTTTTAAAGATTTTATTTATTTGAGAGAGAGAGAGAGAGAGAGAGAGCATGAGAGGGGGGAGGGTCAGAGGGAGAAGCAGACTCCCCGCTGAGCAGGGAGCCCGATGCGGGCCTCGATCCTGGGACTCCAGGATCATGACCTGAGCCGAAGGCAGTCGCTTAACCAACTGAGCCACCCAGGCGCCCGTGTTGTTAGGATTTTATAGCAGTGTTTTGGATAGAATTGTTACAGAAGTTAAATTAGCTTTCCCTCTGCAAAGTTATAATGAGCTTTATGAATTTGTCTCTGTTGGAAGTGTCACATGAAAATTTTTCTATTTGGTGAATCCTGGTGGTGAGCTGAGTGCTCGCCAGGAGGCTGTTTTCTTCTAAAGCATTTTGTTTGCTTACAGACTGCCACTGGGGACACCATTGTGTCATCCAAGTCCAGTGCATTAGCTGCAGCTCGTCAAGCCGAAAGGGAAGGAGAAAAGAAGCCTAGACAAAACAGTGAAGCAGAGAGACTTTTATTGGCTGGGGTGGAAATTCCAGAACCTGTTTTCTTCTGTACCATAGAGCCCCCTTCAGTGGCTAGGCAGCCAGGTACAAATAGTTTTAGTGTATTAATTAATTAGTGCTCTGATAATTTAGATAGAAAGTTATGTTATACTCTCAAAAGATTTCTTTCATGATGTGAGTTCAATTTTATCAGAATTTATGGATAAGTATTACTTGTGATTAGTCTCATTTTTTTATTTAAGATGTTTTGATTTTTACAAACTCCTTTTATTTATTCTTTTCTTAGATCTTGGCCATTTTTTGCATATCATATTCTTCCTTACTCTTGTTCTTGTGGTGCTTTCTGTGGCATTCTAAGTAACTGGCATCAGGACTGCCCTTCCAGTTACAGTAATACATTAGATAGTTACTGATTCATAACTGATCATTTTGTCATCGCCATTGATAAAATGCTCCTTTTCCTTGTTTTCTGGCTCAACCTTTAGAACTCAGTGAAGATATTTATATACTATAGTTAATGTTGTTTGACCTTTTTGTGTTGTGTACTTCGTTCTTTAGCCTGTTTACTCAGAAATCTTCAGTGGCTTCTCATTACTTACAGCACAAATCCAAATTCCTTAATATGCTACATAAATATCATGATTTCAGCTGTTATTATTTCCAATTAGTTTTTGTTACATATTACAGAAACCCCCTCAGATAACAGTTGCTTTAATGACGAAAAGTGTATTTCTCTCCCTTGTAAAATATGCCTTGAGTTGGTAGCCCAGGGGATAGAGGTTGGGTCTGCAATGTCATCAGAGGTTGGGTCTGCAATGTCATCAGGCACCCAGCCTCCAAATTTTTCTGCCCTGACTCTCTGAGTGCATAGTTCCTATCCTTAGTTATAGCATGATGGCTGCTAGGGCCTTTGGCATCACAGTAGAGTTCCTGACAGAGGAATGGAGTAAGGAGGAGGAAGATGTGTTCCTTTCCCTTTTAAGATTTCTTCTGTGTCATTGGCTATCACTTAGACATATGGCCACTCAGTTGCAAGGGAGTCTGATAAATGCAGTCTTTTAAAAAGCTAGACAGCAGCAGAATAGAGTGGAAGACCACTAGCAGTCTCTGATACCAGTCTTCTTGCCTGGCCTCATTTCTTGAAACTTCCTCCTTCATTCTGAACCCTCTTCTGTCACCAAACAAAAACGAAACAGGATACTCACACCTTATACTTAGTTCCAATTTCCTGAAGATACCATGCTCTTCTTGCATTGCTGTTTCTTTTAATTTGGTCTGTCTTGTGTTATGATGGCATGCCCTGACTGTGTCCACCTGGAAAACGTTTACTCTTCTTTAGAAAATCTCATTTCAAGCATCATTTCTTTTTGAGGCTCTCACTGAATTCCTATATTAAATTGTTGAAGGACAAACCTAGTTCTATAGGTGGCATTAGAAGCCATTTTTTCCCCTTGAAAACAAGTTGGACAGATGATTGAAAAATGAAAGCAACCATTTACTGCCTCCCCATGTCGTCTCGAGTACCAAGGGGGAAAGAAAGAAGAAGATCCCTAGCCAAGTTAGGGGTTCCAGTTCTGCACCAGTCTAGCTGGAGTTCACACAAAAGAAAGGTTTGAGTACTGGTCTAAGATAGCCCCCAAATACTGAAGGAAACTAGGTCTGTGCTTGTCCAGTTGGTAAAGGAATAGCAATTAAGTTAAAATGAGTGCCGCAGCAGTGTTCTTGTCAGCTTAAAATGCCCTGAGGCCAACTAAACATAGTCTTGACTCCAGTGGAGGAGGATCCGGCTGTCCAGTTACATCACAGTTGACCCATGCTAGTTCTGTCAGGTGTAGTCAGGCACTTTAGAGCAGGGGCGGCCCAAACAAAATAATCTGAGTTTTTAAAAATATATTTGAAAGTCATTTCAAACATAGTGTAGTACATGAATTCAAATTGTGAGCCTGCAGATAAGTAGCACCAGCCAATTTTAAATCTAACGCCTCCGCTTTTAACTGCTTGAGGGAAAAAGTTTGTGGTGTCCAAAGTAAGTCTCATTAATGGGCATTAGCTTAGAGGTCCTAAGCCCCACAGGGTAGGGGACTTCCTAGAGTCTCTCTTGGATTTCTTTCATGTAGATCTACATATTCTTTTTTCTGGCCCTCCATTGTATTTACCCTGTAGTCCTTTTTTAGCACTTGACACCCTGTTTTCATCCCAATAAACTCCTGAAGGATAGATTTATAAATATTCTTTATAAATACTTTGAATGAATTTATTTACAGTAAAGTTACTATGTTTTCATTCCAAAAGCTCCAGTGTCATAAGCATTATTTCTTTCTTTGAAAATCTGAAAATAAGATATTATCTAAAATAATGCCCCTTAACCTCAATGTGTATAATACATCTCTTGGAATTCTTGTTAAGTGCAGACTCTGATTCAGTCTGGAATGTGAGATTTTGTATTTCTAATAGGCTCCAGGTGTTGCCAGTGTTGGTGGTCCTTGAACCTGACTTCGGGATGTCAGGAGTCTAGAAGAGCACTGTGCAATAGAAATACAACATCCACTTTAATCTAAAATTAGAGCCACATTAAGAAAAAGTAAACTGGCAAAATTAATTTTGATGATACATTTTACTTACCCCAGTATATCAAAAATAGTACCATTTCAACATATAATCAGTATAAAAATTGAGGCATTTTACTTTTTTTCATATTAAGTGTTTGAAACCTAGTATGTATTTTATACTTAGAGCACATGTCAGTTTAGACTAGTAATATCCTAATGAGATGGCTAGTTGACTACTACTTGGACAGTGTATGTCTAGAAGTTTATATCCCTAAGACCACCTTAAATGTGTGGCTGATAAGGTTGATTCATTAATCCATTGCTCAGCTCTTTTCTTGAGCCACACTTTGTGAAACTTCTAACATCTTTTGTAGAGAGGGAGAATATACTTAATAGTTAATTGATTATGTTAGTATCACTTAAGATGCCATATTTGACGTAAATAACATATTCTTCCTCTTTGGGTGTGATAATTCATCATAGAGTGATCATATTAGCATCTCTTTATTCACGATGTAATTTAGTTTCCTTTTGCCAATTTCTCATTATTGCTTCTGTTTCTGAAGGCATTTTGCTTTTTTGTCAGCTCCTAGATTGATCTTTGCAAAACATAATCAGATGGTTACTGTCCCACTTAACACCCTTCAGTGGCTTCCCATTGGAGATTTAAACTCTTCACCCTGGCTTACAAAACCTTACATGATGTGATTCCTGCCACACCTTCCCCTCATCGGATGCTACTCTTCTTTTTACCCACTAATAATCCAGCTACCCTGGCCATCTTGTTATTTTTCCATTAGCAAAACCATTCCTTGCACAGCCATATCCTGTGTCTGGTATTCTTTTCTTCAGGATTTTGCATACATGGCCATTCTTTTCTGTGTCTTCATCTAAATTATCTTGGAGAGGCCTTCCCAGATCATTCAGTCTCAGATAACCTATCACTATCGTAACTGTCTTCTTTTATTCTCTAAAAAGCATTTATAGCCATTTGAAATGTTCTTTTTCAAAATTTGTTTGCTTGTTCATTTTTTTTCCCCACTTGAATACATGTTACATTATCTAAAAAATGAAATGTGAAGGTTAACAGTTACTGTTTATCCCTTAGATTTGGATTATGCACTGAAATGCCTTCAGCGTGAAGATCCCAGTTTGAAAGTGAAGCTGGATCCTGATTCTGGACAGGTACGCATTTTATTACTTAACCCCAGAAATCTTTCAATTGTGTGTGTGTGATACTCTGGACAGGTACGCATTTTATTACTTAACCCCAGAAATCTTTCAATTGTGTGTGTGTGTGATACTCTGGACAGGTACGCATTTTATTACTTAACCCCAGAAATCTTTCAATAGTGTGTGTGTGTGTGTGTGTGTTTAAATGCATACATCTAAAACATGATTGGTTCATGCCCCTGAAAGAAAAAACTTTCTCTTTTGGTTCTCTCATAGTAGAAATTTTTTTTTTTTTTAAGATTTTATTTATTTATTCATAAGAGACAGAGAGGCAGAGGGAGAAGCAGGTTCCCCGCTGAGCAGGGAGCCCGATGCGGGACTCGATCCCAGGACCCCGGGATCATGACCTGAGCCGAAGGCAGACGCTTAACCATCTAAGCCACCCAGGCGCCCTCATAGTAGAAATTTCTGATTATTATGTTGACTGTCAAGCTATTAGTTTCTCAATATAATTAATTATACCTCACTTACCTAAACCATTCTTTATCATTTCAGCTTTCCAGAAGACAGCCTTTGTGAAATTTTGAAATAAGGTTCAACCCTAAGACAAAGTCTTGACCCTTTAATGCTAAGTTTATAGATTCAGCATACTAAAGGGAGGATGCAAAGGTGCTCTTAATGTCACTAACTCACCTAAGGTGGGGGAGAAGTGACTGCTTACATCCTAACACAGTTGGGAGGAAGTAGAGCTAAAGTAGGTGGTAAGAAGTTTGGATATATTACATTACAGTAGAAGAACACATGTTCCATTCTGCATCGTCTTTTTAGGAAGGCAGGTAAAGTTTATCTAAGATATTAGAAAAAGTTCCTTTAAAAGGTTATAAATTAGCCTTTAAGGATAAACTGATTTAGTTAATCTTTAAAACAGGGAGTATTTTATTTCCCAAATGCCAGCTAATTGAGGTGGTAATTTAATTAATGCTGAAAGATACAACAAGCAGTTAAACTTTTTGTTTTAAAACCTTCATTTAAAAAACGCCAATACATTTTTTTTTAAATAAATAATACACAAGGGTACAAAGTACAAAATTTTTTTTTTTTTTTTTTTTTAAAGATTTTATTTCTTTAGGGGCACCTGGGTGGCTCAGTCAGTTAAGCGTCTGCCTTCGGATCAGGTCATGGTCCCAAGGTCCTGGGATCGAGCCCTGCATCAGGCTCCCGGCTTGACGGGAAGCCTGCTTCTCCCTTTCCCACTCCTCCGGCTTGTGTTCCTGCTCTCACTGTCTCTCTCTCTCTCAAATAAATACATAAAATCTTAAAAAAAAAAATAGATTTTATTTCTTTATTTGAGAGAGAGCAAGAGAGCACGAGCAGGGGCGGGGAGAGGGAGAAGCGGGCTCCCTGCTGAGCAGGGAGCCTGATGTGGGGCTCAAACCCTGGACCCCGGGATCATGACCTGAGCTGAAGGCAGACGCTCAACCGACTGAGCCACCCAGGTGCCCCACAAAGTACAAAATTAAAGTTTCCCTTTTTCTCCATTCTATTTTACACAGGTAACCACTGAAAATGTGAATAACGTTTCACACTACCAAATGTCTTCTGCTGTGCTATGTTATAAATAAAGCACAGTATATTTTTTCCATATATAGATATATAGACATAGATATAGATTATAACAAGTCATTCAATTCGTATTGTTCTACAACTTGTTTTTCCCAAGTAATCCGCTTCTTTAACTTTATATTAAAAGTACAGCAGTTGTAGCTAGGTGCTACCTGCCTGTTTAAACTGTCTTGTAATAAGGACAAAATAGCCTAGAAATTCACTTTTTAAATTAAAAAAAAAAATTTTTTTTTAACTGAGCTTTATGCCCAACATAGACCTTGAACTCACAACCCTGAGATCAAGAGTTACATGCTCGGGCGCCTGGGTGGCTCAGTTGGTTAAGCGACTGCCTTCGGCTCAGGTCATGATCCTGGAGTCCCTGGATCGAGTCCCGCATCGGGCTCCCTGCTCGGCAGGGAGCCTGCTTCTGCCTCTGACCCTCCCCCCTCTCATGTGCTCTCTCTCTCTCATTCTCTCTGTCTCAAATAAATAAATAAAATAAAATAAAATCTTTAAAAAAAAAAAAAAGAGTTATATGCTCTACTAACTAAGCCAGCCAGGCGCCCCAGCAATTCACTATTATTTTTTTTATTTTTTATTATTTTTTAAGATTTTTTATTTATTCATTTGAGAGAGAGAGAGAAACAGCACACAAGTAGGGGGGAGAGGCAGAGGGAGAGGGAGAAGCAGACATCCTGCTGAACTGGAAGCCTGACATGGGGCTCGATCTCAGGACCCTGAGATCATGACCTGAGCCGAAGGTAGACGCTTAACCATCTAAGCCACCCAGGGGCCCCAGCAATTCACTTTTCATTGACTTACCCACTCAGAAGAGTTAAAAACTGTTTTGAAGAGGTACCAAAAAAAAATTGCAAAGAAACTCGGTTTGTAATGAATGAAAAATAATATTGATATCATACCTTTATATAGTATTTTGTGATAAACATAATTTTTTCTTTGATGTTGGTTTTATTTTCTTCCTCTTTTAACCAGACTGTCCTCTGTGGTATGGGGGAGCTACATATCGAGATTATTCATGACCGAATCAAGAGGGAATATGGACTGGAAACCTATCTAGGGCCTCTCCAGGTGGCATACCGAGAGACCATCCTAAATGCAGTTTATGCCACAGGTAAAAAATAAAACATTTAGAATTTGCTATTTTTGTTTCTCTCTCTTCAGGACCTGTTTTCTGAAAGCAGGGTTCACAGTCACTAGTGTCTTCCATCAGTGGGCATAGGGTTTTTTGTTTTTAAGATTTTATTTATTTGACAAGGAGGGCAAGCACAAGCAGGGAGGGAGCAGCAGAGGGAGAGAGAGAAGCAGGCTCCCCTCTGAGCAGGGAGCCCAACTAGGGGGAAATGGACAGACCTCGGGCTTGATCCCAGGACCCTAGGATCATGACCTGAGCCAAAGGCAGACGCTTAACTGACTGAGCCACTGAGGCACCCCGGGCATAGGTTTTATGTGTGTGTTTTTTTATTTTTGGGGGGATTTTGTTCTGTTTTGTTTTAACCCAGTTGTCTTCTTTACCATTCATTACATCAATCAAACGATGAGCCCTTACCAAACAAATACGCTTTTCAGTGGTGGTCATGGGCTAGACTAAGCCCTTGGTGTAGGTGGCTCATACTAATCCTCACTACCAGAATGAGTATAAGAATTTGAAGTTCATGTGTTATTTTTACTCTACAAAGTGAGTGCAAAATAATTTCATCTATTTAATAAATATGGTAATGTTATGCTGATGATGTTCTTGAGAAAGTACAGTTTATATATTTCTGTCCCAAAATTTAAGAATTCATGTTTTTTCTATATATGATAGTTTCAGTTTGGTTTTCTTAAGCATAGGAACATGACAATCACTGCTTTTCCCCAAGGAATAAACATGGAGAGATTTCTGAAAAAATAATAGAGAAAAGATGTTAAGGATAATTAAATGTAACTCAGTGATTTATAAAAAAGGCCAGGTGGTTACTTTTCAGTAAAACTTGAAAAATTAAACAAGCAGAATGTAGGAGCAAGTGATATGAAGATTTCTTTCTCTTTTTTTTTTTTTTTTAAGATTTTATTTATTTGACAGAGACATAGTGAGAGCAGGAACACAAGCCAGAGGAGTGGGAGAGGGAAAAGCAGGCTTCCTGCTGAAAAAACAAACATGGGGCCTCTAGATAAATGTATCTTTAATCCATTCCTCAAAGAAAAGTCCCATAGATAAAGGAAAATTAAATCACAATTCAAAAAATACTTTAAAGTTACAAAATCATGAGAAAAGGCACAATGAGCAAAAAGGTAGTAGAAACAGCATCAGTCAGAACAGCAGAGGCTTCTGATATTGGAATTATTGGATGCAGGATATAAAAGGAGTATATTTTTGAAGAAATAAAAGGAGATAGAAAGTATTAGTAAGGAACAAGAGACCATCAAGAATAAGCAGGCAATAGAACATTATGGTATTTTAGTTGAAAAGAAATGCTCAATATTGATGGGGGAATGTCATAAGGCCACAGGAACCAACTTGAAGAGGCTCTACTGGCCATATCTGAATGAATTAGAATAGCATTTTTTTTTTTTTTTTTTAGATTTTATTTATTTTGACAGACACAGCGAGAGAGAGAACACAAGCAGGGGAAGTGGGAGAGGGAGAAGCAGACTCCC